AAGTGCTATTCGCCATCAAATCGACCGCGCCCACGCCCATAGCCATTGTTGTTGTTGTTGCTGCCATATCCTCCATTACCACGGCCTCCATTGAAGTTACTCCTGTCAAATCTGCTTCCTCGCCCTCTGCCCCTTCCACGGCCATGCCCACGGCCCATGCTTGCAATTCCGGCACCATCGGGACCCGCCAATTCGTGACGGCGGAAATCTTCTTGTAAGATTCCCCGCTTCACATCTTCGAGCGAGAGGCGGGGCAGATCTCGATTTAGGTTGATGATGAGCGAGGACCATGAGTCCAGAAGTAAGGCCAGCAGCTTGGTCTTCTTTTGAAGGTCACTGTAGTTCAGGTCAGCTCCTTCGAGCCGTGTCAACAAGTCGAAGAATTTATGCACTCCTTCCTCCACCGGTTCACCTTCGTCAATTCGAAGTGCCGCCATTTGCCGCTCCAAAACCACAGCCACCGCCGCTGTTGCAAGAGCGTGTACACCCTTGAGAGCAGCCCATGCCTTTGGTCCCTTTGCTGGTTCACGCTAAAAAGGCTTGATGTGACGGATTTGGCTGCTCCCCAACGCTTGCCCAAGTAGAAGATAGCCTTGTGCGCTCTTCCGCACCCACGGGCTCTTCTCCGGGTCGTTCTCGGGGCGCTTCTCCATTCCTTTCATCACCTCCAGCAGATCATAGTGATCAAAGATGTTCTCCATCTTGAAGGACCACTCAGCAAAGTTGTCACCGTTGAACTTGTCAAGGCCAAACACTCTAGGCTCATCCCTAGAGGGGCCAAAGCTAGGTTGCACGGGAGCAATGAGTGGATCTTGGTGTTGGCCTTGTACTTGGGCATCTTCTCTGCCTCCAGCACCTCTGCCTCCAGCACCTCTGCCACCCCCTTCCCCAGATCAAGGCATGGTCTAAATGCCTCCAAGGGGCTCTGATACCACTTGTTATAATAACAATAGGCTCAGATGTGCCTAAAATGAGAGATAGAGATCACAGTCGGATTTCCGTCAGACGGCTTCAAATATTGATACCGATCTTATGTGTTCCTCAAACGGTGATCTTTAAAATGAATCGGGAGCGCGTTGCTGTCACCTATGATCAGCAAGTTGAATCATGAAATTCCATGAAGATTTGACGATGCTATGGCGGTTTGACTGGCAGGAGGTATCGCAGCCACTATTGTCTTAGAAGTACAACCTTAGCAAGTAGAATCGAGATTGAGATAGTTCTCAGCCTCTACAAGCCCCAAGAGCTGAGGTCCAGATTGGTGGTACACCATCACAGAGTCCCCAACCACGAAGGGACTCGAAACAAACTCAACAAGGGGCTGGACCAAGTGAAATTTAACACTACGTGAAGTAGTATTACGATTTTCACTATTCTAATATTTGTTTCTGTTCCTTCGGCTTGAAATCTTGAGCTCTTGGTCTTGATTCTGCAAGATAAATTCTTCTTGAATTGATGAGGGCTTGCTGCACACACCTGCGATGCGATGGACACTTCACACTCGACAAAATAGAAAAACACATGCGACACGCAAACGACGACTTGGCATGCGATATGTGAAAACTCGCTAATGTCTTGACCGACACAAACCACATTGTGATACACCATTCAAACACACACACACAAGCACTAGATAGTAATGACATAGACTCACAAGTCATTCCATGCCATGCATGCACACACACAAACAAGGACGGCAAGCCGAGTGCAAGCCATAGGGTTGCACTAACATCTTCTTGCCATGTCCTCCACTCCCCTGCAATTCAGCCTACCGCTAATGCTTCTTCACCCTGTTCTGTTGCTTCTTGGTCGTACGTATCCCCAACTTCTGTTTCTTGCCTTGCTTCTTCCTCATGCCTTCCCATGCATCTTAGCATTACTCCCCTGCACTTTGGTAGTCTCCTTGCTATTGCCCTCTTGCTCAATCATCCCCACTTGCTGTCCCTTCAAGAATATCTCACCATGCTCATCTTCTCCTTCGATCTCCACATACCCCATGCATTCCACCTTCACTCCTGCTGCCCTGTTTTCACCATTTTCCTTGCTGCCCTTCTCTTCTTCAGCTCCATCTCCTATCTCAGGTTCCTCTTCCACACTACTCTCCTTTTCCTTCTGCAATTCTGCTGCCCAATCCATTGCCTTTGGCTTCTCCTCCCATTCTGCTCCCACAGCTTCGTGCTTCACTTTCACTTCCTCATTCATGCTCGCTAATGTATATCCAACCTCCCATGCCTCTGCAACTTCAGCTCCTGACCCATCCTTCTCATGACTCATCTCATTTCCTTTACTCCCCTCAAAGTTCTCCTTCACTGCTATCTTAGGGCTCATATCCATCTCATAGACTCCATGCTTCAGTACTCCATCAGCCACTCTTTCCCATCCTGGACCAAGGACTGAAACCTTCCCACTCTCAGTAAAGACCTTGCAACCAAGCTTATCCAACTGAGCCTGACTAATCAGATTTACTGCTAACTTCTCTACCACCAATACTCCCTTCAACTTCAGCTCACCGAAAGGACTACGCAACACTACATCTCCCTCTCCTTGACAGGTAACTTCTCATTATCTCCTACTAGGATATAGGACTCCTTTGAATCTCTCAGATTCTCAACCCACTCATACCTGTTCGTCATGTGTTGGGTGCTGCCACTGTCAAGAATCCACGCCGCTGCATTATCTCCTTTCACTTGCTCCTCACTTAAACGCACCACATTCGCACGATGAGCACCTTCGAGGATAACATCCTGCTTTTCCTCCTCAGCTACTGCCACATTTGCTTTTGCTGCCGCATTCCCCTGCTGCTGCACTTGGCCCCTATAATTTCTCCCATGTGGATTGGAGTAGCACTCCGCTGCTCGATGCCCACATTTGTAGCAGAAATGGCAGTTTCCTCCAAACCCCCTTGACCGTTGCTGTTCAGATGCACTTATCTTCCCCGTATCACTTTCTCCTCCTTTCCCTTTAAAATTTCTGCTCCTCGGTTCTCATAGCAATCGATTGCCTTGTGCCCCTTTTTTCCACAGTGATAGCATGCTCCAAATCCCCTTCGAAACGTCGCCGCTGCATTCACCATATCCGGCCGCTCCTGTCCGCCCTCGTATGCCTTTTCGTCCTTCTTTCCTTCAGCTCTCATCACTTCGATTGCCTGGAGCTTCTCCTCCAACTGCGTCAGATTTGTTGGTGGGTGCAGGATTAGCCCTCCCTTTCCTGACTGCCATGACTTTGGAAGCCCATTCCCAATGTATTCCATCATCTGCTCTTCGGTCTCCGCTTCTCCCATAGCTGCTAGCTCGTCATTGTAGCTCTTTGCTCTATTCACGTAGTCGATTATCCTCTCCTCTTCCCCCATGCTGAGCAACAAGAGTCGCTTCCGTATTGTTGATATATTGGTACCACTCTTTTTGAGGTACACATTCTCTAGATGTGCCCATGCTTTCTCTGCCGAGTTCAGCTCGCGTTTAAACGGGTCCAACCTCGCTGCAATGCTATCCGAAACTGAGTGGCAAAGCTAGAAATATGCTTGCTTACTTCTCCTCTTGAAGTCCGCTATCTTCTCTGGTGTCTCCGTTTTAGGTGGAGGGACTCCCTCCCCCGTCTCCTTGTCCGGCTCATAGTAGCACTAGAGATCAACTTTCTCTGCCCCCCGACTGAATTTGAGGCGCCACGTGCTATAGCTGCTTCCGTTGAAGCGTTGAGCCTCACTCAAACCAATCGTAGGTTTCATCACCAATTGCCCCCTCGCAAGGGCTTCTAGGAAAGCTTTTACTTGCGGGTCTCCAATGCTCACACTGGATCCCGAACTAACCTCGTCACGACTCATGACGTAGGCTTGAACTCCCCTTCAACCACTAGACTACACTTAGCGCTCTAAGTGTTCTTACACGCAACGAAGCGTGCCTATAACGAAGCTCTGATACCAGCTCTTAGTCCACAAGCGCCTCCGGCTAGGCTACTTATCGATCTCTTTGATCTCACGATTCCAACGGTATGTCCAGATTAGCCGAAAGTCGTCAATACGAGATGCAGCAATTTTCTGAATCCAATAATTCGGAATGAGATACAAAGCACAAACTGAAACAACACATATATGCATTTCGGATTTCAGCCACGCGCTTCGTAACACCACGTGCGTCTCGCTGTAACGCGTGCGCCTCGAGTCACCCCAAGTCGTACTCCACCGAAAGTGAGGCTGCGTTCTGCAGGCAAAAAAGGAAAGTGCAGATTACAACAGAGCTCCTTCCGAAAGCGAGTTTTTTTGCTTCGGATCGAGGGTCAGCCCGCAAATTTTCGTCCAAACCTGGCACAACGTACCCGAACCTAGTTACGTCGACATGCCTACAGAACAGGTCCATCTGCGGATGACATCTACGTCAGTGAAACACCCCCGTCGCTTCCCTCCCTTGCAAATTTGACGCAAACCTGACGCAATGCCGACGTTCGCTTAATCGCGAAGTTCACCTTGCGTGTGGCGTTACATCAACCGCAAGGGTGTACTAGGCCTCCACACCCCAAACATACAACCGCCACCACTTTACCCCCCCTCGCGAGCTTGGGCCTGCCCTGCAAAAAAACAGCAGTTGAAAAAACCCATCGCCAACGAATCATATCTCAGCTTAACCTTTTTTCGTCATTTTGCCCCGGATAATTTCTCTCCTGCCCTGGGGCAGAAGTTTTTTTTTGCGCAATTTTGAAATTATCTCCTCTCTCCTTTCGCTTGCGCTTTCCACAATTTGGTCGCGTGGCTTCCAAGCGAGGTTGGGAAAGTGCACCTGGTTTGGGTGGTAACCAGTGCTCTTGAAGTCGCTTGAGGAGCTTCCTCAATGTAGACGTCGACGTCAACGTCAAATGCCTGTAGAACACAACCTGAATGCGCTCCGCGTCAGTTTGGCACCGAAACCGACACCAAGTTCGGTTCCACTGAACGTGCACCGAATGCACTCCTCTTCCAACTTCCAATTCCCCGCACAACACTTCTAGCAGCTGCTGATTCCTCACGCCACATTTCCACCTCTCATCTTCTCCGCTTTCCTCAACCGCATTTCTTCCGTACTCCCACCGCATATTGCTGCATCACCGTTCCTCCTCCGCACCTAGTGCCACCATCGTGCCGCCAGATTAGGGTAGATCCGCCGTTGGGTAGGGCAGCGCCGAACCATCTCCAACATCGCCATCTTTAAGGCCTGCAAGCCAGAGGAATTTAATCTGGAAAGCACGACTCTGTTGCGGCAGTCAGCGTGGTCCCGCGCGGCGAGCATGGACGCGCTGGACGGCCACGTGCTGTTCCGCGTCGCGGACGCCACGGGCGATCCGCTTCCCACCATCGCGCGCCTCGCCGCGCTCTCCCGCGCCTTCGCGCGCGTGGCCCGCGCGGAGCTCTGGCCGCTCTACTGCCTCTCGCGCGCCGCGCATGCCGACGCGGGCGACGCGGCGGCGGTGGTGGCGCGTCTGGTGCGCGAGGCGGGCGCCGCCGACGCCCCGCGGAACGCGGCGAGCAGCCTGGTGCGGTGCGTGAGCGCGTGCCCGGGCATGTCGCCCGCCTGCTCCGCCGCGCTGCGCGTGCACGCCGCGACGCCGCTGGAAACGACGCGGGTGGGCGGCGGGTGGTGGGCGAGAGGTTGGGATGCAGACCGCGGGGAGGAGGAGGCGGAGGGAAGCGGCGACGACGGGGGAAGCGGCGGCGTGGGAGGCGGCGAGGGGAGCGAGGAGCACGTGAGGGAGAGCAGCGGGTCCGAGGGTGAGAGAGGCGAGGGAGGACGTGGGGAGGGCGGGCGCGGCGACGCAGCAGGGGGCGGCGGCAGCGGCAGCAGCGCAGGCAGTGGTGGGTGCGAGCGTGGTGCGGGCGTTGCTCCCACGGATCCCACCGACTCCACGCCCGACCTGCGTGTTGCCCCCAATGCCCCCACTGCCCCCGCCAGCAGCAGCGGTGCCGCACCTGCTGCTTCTTCCCCCCCCGTGAACCCCCATCTGGACGCCATCTGCGCCCTATGCGCCCACCTCGCCCAGCAAATCTTCCGTGCTGACTGCTTCCTCCCCGCCCCTCCCTACCCCCCACCACCTGCTCCTCCCTGCACTCCTCTGTGCCGCTCCCCCTCCTCTCCATCCCTGTCTCCATGCCCCCCGCTGGGGGAGGAAAAGACAGTGGGGGAAGGCGAGGGTGGAGGAAGTGGGGGTGGAGGAGGAGGGGTGGAAGAAGGGGTGGGAGAAACGGGAGAGGGTGTGGCTGTGGTGATGCGGACTCGGGGGTGCGGAGCGCACTGGGGGGGGAACGAGCACTGTTGTGTGGTGCGCGGAGCAATCGCAGGGTTCAGGCACTCACGGTGAGCCCTGCTTATGGTGGCTGGAGCATGGGTGGCTGGAGCATGGGTGTGTGTTACACAGTGCTCGCCTGCCAGTGCAATGCCAGTTCCATGTTTCTGCTCGCACGGATAGCATGTGTGGGTCACAGCATACATGCTGCTGCAACCCGTGCCATGGCCTGGCCGCCTCACCCAACAACCAGGTGTATCTGGCATGGCATGGCTCACTGCCTTCACAGCTCTCACATTTCACTGCCTTCCATTGTTCACTCCTTGTCAGTGTGCACTGCTGGGCCACCCCCCTGTGCGTGCCCCATTGCCCGTCTGCAGCTTCCACTGGCTGCTGCAAGGCCAGCCGTTTGCCCACGGCACATGCCCCTTCTGCCACGACCAGGTGAGAATAGTAGGACTCATGCCGTGCCATGCCGTGACATGCCGTGACATGCCGTGACATGCCGTGCCATGCCGTGACATGCTGTGACATGCCGTGACATGCCGTGCCATGCCGTGACATGCCGTGACATGCCATGCCATGCCGTGACATGCCGTGACATGCCGTGCCATGCCGTGCCATGCTGTGACATGCCGTGACATGTTGTGCCATGCCGTGCCATGCCGTGACATGCCGTGCCATGCCGTGCCATGCCGTGCCATGCCGTGCCATGCCATGCCGCGCCCGTGCTGTTGGCCTTCTGCTGGAGTTGAAGCATGGACTACCTTTTTACCTCCCTGTGCCATGTGTCCCTGTGCCCCGCGTTCCCCCCTGTGCCATGTGCGTTGCTGGCAGGCATGGGACGCCACGGCGCTGCTGCAGCCCTCGGCTCACACTGTGCTGGGCTGCACTGAGGGCGACGCCTGCTGCTTCATCTGCACCCAGGTGTGTCCTCGCCCACGCCAAACACATTCAGTGCGCTTGCCTCATGATTCAAAACCGCTTGCAAATGTCTCATTGTCTAGTGACACACTGGGGTTGACCTAGAGATCCTTGGAAGGGCCACAGACCTCTATGCCGGGGGGGCTATGGGCGTGCTGTGCTGACCCGCTACTTATCAAGCCCTTTTAGCACAGTGGTTAGCGGCTGTGACGCTCATGTCTTATATCCCCCTCTCCCCCCCCCCTCCCCCCCCCCCGCAACCCAAATTTTCCCCTGCCTTGCCCGTTCATGGTTCCGGTGCTGGCAGGGTCACGTGTTTGGTGCGTACAAGGCACGGCACTCCGCCTTTGACTGGGACGAGTTCTCAGATGACGTTGATGGCGACGACCAAGAGGGCGACATCTATGAGGACGGCGATTACGATGACTTCTCAGATGCCTTCGACGACTACGGAGAGTATGACGTTGAGGCATTCGACGAGCCCAATTGGTTCTAGTTGGTGAAACTTGTGGCGGATTGGAATGGAATAGCCATGTCAATATAGGTGTACAAAAGTGGGGTGGGGTTGGTGAATTGAATAAGTGATGTTGCGATAAAGCCGTACTTACAGCATTTCTGTGAATAGTTCCGATAGATATTGTCGAGTCACACTATGGATAGCATCCGTAGAATGACGTCAGCAAATAGCGCTCGTCTGGATGGTTACGTCAGCAAGACGTTTCAGTCACGCGAACAGTCGCTCTCTTTTCAGTAGCGGTTAGAGCGCATAGCGCAAATAGCTCGAACAGGTACATCACCGAATAGGTATTTCTAGTGGTAGATGTAAAAATAGCTTGTACAACTTCTGTTGGAAATTCCTCGTGTTGGGCTGAGAAAAAGCCCTTAGGATCTTTTAGAGACTAAGTCCCAGTTGTACAAGATACTTGAGTAGTGCAGCGGAAGTTGAGTAGTTAAACCCTTGCACTAGTATGTGAGAGCAAGTGATTGATTAAAAGAAACAAGCATACAGCAATATATAGAAAATAGGAAAAGTAAAGCAGTTGTAGAATACAGTTGAAGGAACGGTTATCGAGTCGCACAGCGACTCGATGGTCGATTCGGTTACCACCCTTGCAGTTGTAACGGTCAGTCGCAACCTCCGGTTGCGTCCTTTCGTGTTCTTTTGTCCAACCTCCTCGTGTAACCTCCGTTGACTCGCATACTCGATACAGCTTCACTCGAGTGTGGTGTTACACTTCAGAAACGGTTAAGTCCTTGAGGTATTTCCAACACTCCCCTTCGTTTCTGGAGTGCTGACGTGTTCAGATTCGGTGACGTTTATCTGCCCGGTCAGCAGCATGCAGTAATCGAACTTTGCCTTCGCCAGTTTCTTCGTCAGGTAGTCTGCGGCCATTTCTTTCGTGAGGCAGTAACAGAGTTGAAGTCTCCCCTTCGCGATTTCATCCTTGACGAAGAAGTACCGCAGGGCGATATGCTTGGTTCGATTAGCGAACCCGTCCTTGTTCGCGATTTTAATCGCGGATTGGTTGTCGCAGAATATCGAGAAGGTGGGCAGTTTTGCGATTTTCGCTTCCTCGAGCAGCTCTCGCAGGTAAAGTCCTTCTTTGGTCGCAGTGCAGAGGGCGATGTATTCCGCTTCAGCCGAAGATAGCGCGATTAGTTCTTGATTGCTTGACTGCCAGGAGATGGTCCCGATAGGCTCTAGTCGGTAGATGTAGCCCATCCTTGAACGTCGATTTTCCCTGTCTCCTGCGTGGTCGGCGTCGACTTATCCGAGTAGTTGTACGGACGATGTCGTTGTTTTACTGTACGTAAGTCCGGTTGTCGGTGTAGAGACGAAGTAGAGCAGTGCACGATTTAGCTCCTCGAGATCCTCTTGTCCCGGCTGCTTCAGATGTGTCGCTAGTTGGCTCGCGCTGTAAGATAGATCCGGTGGGCAAGTTACTGCTGCGAATAGTAGGCAGCCGAGCTTCTGCTGATACTCCTGGATTTGCTTTGCGGGGAGTTTTGCGGAGGTGTCGTTGTTGTTCCCGTAGCGATAGGGAGTCGCGACTGCAGTCGGCGTTAGTCCGAATTTCTTCGCGACGACGCCTGCGTATTTTCCAGCGTGTAGGTAGAACGCCGAGTCGTCTTCGACGACGTTCAGACCTAGATACTGGCTCACGGTGTCTGACACCGTAAGCGTTAAGTCGCTCTTCAGCTCCCCTTCGAACCAGGTGACGACGTTGGTAGTGGAGCCGACGTAGAGTAGATCATCGACGTAGACGATGAGTAGGACGAAGTCCACCCCCTTTTGTAGTCGGTACATTCCTTGGTCGTGCGGCAGCTGCAGGAAGCCGATTCTGACGAGGCGGCCGTGAAGGTGCTGCTGCCAGAGCCGTGGGGCTTGTTTGATTCCGTAGAGGGATTTAACCAGTTGGCATATTTTGTGGGGTCGTCGATGAATCCATGGGGTTGCTCGACGAAGATTTCGGCGTCCACACGTGCGTACAGGAAGGCGTTGGCGATATCGATCTGGCGGAGTGGTAACTTTTTTGTGGCCGCGACGGCGAGCAAGATGCGTAAGGAGGTGTGTCAGGAGACTGGGGCGAATGTCTCCGTGTAGTCTGTTCCATATCACTGGTCGAATCCTCATACGGCCCAGCGAGCTTTGAAGCGGTCGATGGAGCCATCCGCATTGGTCTTGATGCGGTACACCCATTTCCTCGAGAGTACGTTCCTCCCGTTGATGTTTGTTGCAGGTACTAGCTTCCACGTATTTCGGTCTTGCAGAGCTTTCAGTTCTTTTTCCATTGCCTCCTTCCATTTCGCCTTATGTTCCCCCCCAGAGCCTGCGACAGAGTCGTTGGCTCGCACGGAGATGGCGGCGGCGGGTGCTGGACGGAGACCCATAATCCATGTATCTGCAGGCCCGTGGGTGAGTGTCGAGGGGAATTTTCATCCCCGGGATAAGCTGCTTCGTCGCCATCTTTAGGATCAGGTAAGAAATTTGGTCTGATGCGTTCTGAGACATTCGTGTCGACTGGTTGAGGTGTAGCGTAACCTTGGTCAGCGAAGTGGTAGTAGGTGTCGAGGTTGTTACTATCGAGAGGATTGTCGTCGCTGAGGGGAACAGGCACGGAGCGGTAAGGGAGTGGTCCGGCAGTTTCCGAGGCTTCAGGTACGTCTTCTTCTGCTGCGTCAGCTTCGGCAGCTCGATCGGCGTAGGAGCGAAGGCCCGCGAAGCCGTCGGTGGGGTCGTCTTTGTTGGCGATGTTGTCCAGGTAATGCTGCAGCGTCAGTCGTTCGTAGAAGATCACATCACGTGATGCCACTGTGTTTTTGTCTTGTATGTCGAGGAGTTTCCATGCTTGGAAATGTTTGGCGATGCCGAGGTGTAGTCCCCACCGTGCTCGTTAAGTGAAGCGTCCTGCTCGAGCTATGTGAGGTCTGTACTGTACCATGCAGCCGAAAACCCGAAGTAATTTTGTGCTGCCCCTTTTTCGTGTCCACAGCAGGTGCGGTGATGCGTTGTTGGGAAGTGAGGACGAGGACAACAAATTGTGCAGGTGGACTGCATGTGTCATCGCGTCTGGCCACAGTGTGTTGGGCAGTCTCATCCCCAGGAGCAGCTTCCGCATCGTCGTTTGCAGGGTCCGGTTCATTCTTTTTGCGACCCCCTGCTGGTGGTGATCGTAGGGTAGAGATACCAGGCACCTGATTCCTCTCTCTGCCAAGAAGTTCCTGAATCGTTGTGACTGGTACTCCAGTGCCCCGTCTGAGTGAAATCTTTTTAGTTGAGTGCCTGATTCCCGTTCAGCGATGGGGAGCCACGTTGTGAAGGCTTCGAATACTTGATCTCGTGTCTTGAGGTTGTAGTGCCAGACGTATCTTGTTGCTGCATTGATGAACGTGATGGCATAGTTGAAGTCGGCTTCACTGTCGTCTCGAGGCATGTTTAAGATGTCGGTGTAAACTTTTTCCATCGGTGCATATGCAGGTGCGCTTGGGTTGTGGTGTGATGGAAAAGGTTGGTGGGGAAGATCGGCTTCGGGGCACGTAAAGCATCGAGCGCGTGGTCGTCGAAGTTCTTGGCCGCTCGTTGTAAGAAGGGCATTTCTTTCTAACATTTCGGCTTGGATGGTTTGTAGCACTGTGCTGTTTGCAGGATGTCCGAGGCGTTGATGCCAGATGTCGTCGGGAGCGCGATGGCCGGGCGAGCGTTGGTACATGTCGGCGTTGGAGAAGAACGCGACGACCGTGGCGGGACTTCGGCAGACTTCTCGTGTGATGGGCATAAGTTGATCTGCTTCGGTTGGCGGTCCTCGGATTGTTCGTGATGGTACTCGGCTGGGTCCTGCTGCTGCTACTGCAGGTGATGTCGGGGGAGGGACGCTTGCTGGTACTTGTCTTTCTTGTCGAATGACTGCTAACGCTCGTGTTCTCTCTACTGCAGGTATGGTGTTGGAGTACCAGAATCCAACACGAAGACACCTGACTTCAGGAGAGCGCGACCGATGAAGAGGCCGCCCTTTCCGTGGTAAAGACGAAATTCGTTGGCGTCCGAGTCGCATTCCAGGTGAATCTCTTTTTCCATTAGTTAACTGACGCTTAGCAGATTGTATCCCAGGTTGTCGACGATTAGAACCTTGTTGAGTTGCAGTATGACATTTGTCTCCATGGACTGCAACTGAACCACTCCTTGTCTGTTTGTTTTCAGGTTCTCGTTGTTGGCGACGGTGATAATGACATCGTGGTTTAGGCGTCGTTCTCGTTGCACGAAGCGTCCGGAAGAACACATGTGTTGGCCGCAACAGCTGTCCAAGAACCAGGTGTTTCGCCCTGTGGGTTTGGCGTTGGCGACTCCAGTGTACGTTGAGTTGACATGAAGGCCTTGTGAGCGCGGCGGCGGCAGTTCTTCTTCGTCTGGGGCGTAAGTGGGTGGTGATCCGAGTGCGCAGTTGTCGATGCGTACCATACATTGTATGATGTTCGGTGTGCCCTGTGCAGATGTGGAGGAACGCCTTGGCGGACTTTCTTGGGTGGAAGCGACTTGTGGGTCTACTGGACGATAAGCTCGGGGGCGTGTGCAGTTAACCTTGGAGTGTCCGGATGTCAGGCAGTTGTGGCAGAACGGCGGTACGATGGTGAGTCCTCTGGTGTCGTGTCGATGCTGCCAGTCACGTCGATTGTAGTTGTCATTTTTTCGTTGAGTATAGAAGACTAACGGTTGCTGCTTGTTTCTTGGTTGTCTTTCTTCAAACAGGTCCATCTCCTGTTGTTCAACATGAAGTTCGGCGTAGAGGTGCATCTCTGAAATTCGTCCGTGGGCGCGAAGAAGCGAGCGGGTGGTTCTCCATTCTTGCCCGAGCCCGGCGAGGACAAGTGTCACGAAGCTCTCTTCAGTGATTGTACCTCTACACCGAAGCAGGCGGTCGCGGAGTGTCTGGCAGCGACTCATATACTGCATCGCCTTCTCCTGGGTCTTCATTTGTATTGTTGTCAACTGCTGCATGAGTCTACTTTGTGTTACGCTGTCATTTGCCTGGTAGAGGCACTTGAGGTGATGCCATGCGAGCTCCGCCGAGTTTCTGTAGCTCCGATACGTTCTGATGCTTTGTTGTTCTTGTGGTGACAGGTTTCGCAGGAGAACTGTGTACGCCAGCAGCGACTGATAAGTGAAGATTTCCTGCTCCTTTGCAGTGCCATTGCTTGGAAATGGCAGGGACCCGTTGAAGTATCCCAAGAGATGCGCGGCCTCCATCAGCAGCTCGAACTCGAAGCTCCAGGTAAAAAAGTCGTGTCCGTTG